AGTCATTATAATCAGTAATTATGTCCCCACAGGATGCAACAAATGCCTCGTTTGTAATGGGTTTTAATGTTTTTGTCTCGTCGCTCTGGCCGGACACAGCATCAACAGTATGGTGAGGGGCGTAACATTTCCGTCACACACTTGAGGTATTCGGCCAATCACAGCGCACCTCGCCTTTCAGACCGATGAGCTTTGTAAAAATTGACGCGTTTCAAAAAGCGGGGCATAGAGGAGAAACAATAATGTACAGTATGTGGAAAATGTTTTTTTTTTTACTTTAAACTGCATAAACACATTTCATTACACCAAATACACAAAATAATGTTCTTTTTAGCAGCATCATATGACCCCTTTAATAGAAATATATTATGTATCTTATTTTAAGACACACTAACCTTTCTTTAAAAGTTTGGGGTCAGTAAGTTATTTTTTTTTTAATTGAAATTTAAATTTATTATTTTAATTAGCAAGGATGCATTAAACTAACAAAAGTGGCAAAAGACATTACAAAAGATTTTTATTTCAAATAAATGCTGTTCTTCTGAACGTTCTATTTATCAAAGAATCCTGAAAAAATGCATCACGATTTCACAAAACTATTAAGCAGCACAACTGTTTTCAACATTGGGAATAATAAGAAATTTCTTTAGCAGCAAATCAGAATGATTTATGAAGGATCATGTGACACTGAAGACTGGAGTAATGATGCTGCAAATTCAGCTTTGCATCACAGGAATAAATTACATGTTAAACAATATTCAAATAAATTGTAATATTTCACAATATTACTGTATTTTAAAAACTAAATACTGCCTTGGTAAGCATCAGTGACATAAGAGAAGAAACAATCTTTCTGACCCCAAAGATTTAAACAGTTGTGTACACGAGGGACAGAAAGCACATAATATTAACAAATTTCAGTTTTGTGTTTAATGAAAGATGCTCGATGAGTTTGGGCACCAGACTGAAAGCTTAAATCAAAACTTTTCTGCTAACAAACGTCTGTCCTGCTAGTTTGGCCTCAATGAACTGATCTCTGCGCTTTTTGAAAGGTGCAGAAAATGTGGAACTGGAAGATACCTGCTGACTTCCACATGAAGCCGCAAGTGAGGTTTCTGCGCTACAGATTTCAGTGTACGGACCCGTACGCCTGGCAGAAGAACCGTGAACCCGCCCGCTAGACTTTAGCTCTCCTTTGTGTGTGTGTCCGTTTGTTTTATTTTTGACTATTTAAACATTCAGAGGATACTGTAACTTAACGTTTTATTGCGCCTGTTAATAAAAGTGCCCTGTAAGTATTTTATTCATTGGTACGATGAAAGAAAAATCAAAGGAGTCAAATGGAGAAGAAAAAAAATCACGATTTAACGTATTTGCTTTGTAAATTCAATGGTTGTTTTCCCCCATAATTGTCGCCACTGTATTTTCTTGCCTAGATGTTTAAGCAATGTTCTTTACAAATGTCACAAATTGTATATTGCTGAATGTATGTCACTCAAAGATAATCTTTACATTAAATTGAACATCTATTTTGAACATCATATTAAAATATTTGTCATTTTACCTGAGAAAATGCATAACTTTGTGGAACCAGTTCAGAAACAGGCAGCCTATTTGGAAAATGGCAAGTGATCTAAGGTTGTCTAACAACCCTATAGGTTAAAGGGCAAGTTCGCCGAACTTTGTATTGTTACAATGTCGGCAGTATGTGTTAATAAACAATGTGTATTATTTTTTTATGTTGCCTGAAACAAGACGTTCCCATTTATTGTCATACAGCGGGCTTTTGTGAAAACTACAGATTGCACTTTCGCTTTTTTGTATCTCTGTTTACGAATAGACTGGTCAAGCCAAGTGCATTATGGGTGTTGAAGTTTTCCTAGCAATTTTTTCACCACAGCCCTTTTCTGTTTTCTCTAGTAAGGGAGCATCATTTTAATATATATACATCTACTGCATAGACAGTGGACATTTAGTAAATTTATAAACTTCTAAACAAGATTTATTTTGACCAGCTAATGACCAACTAGAACCCATGAAAACCCAGCTACAATCAAAAGCTTGATTTAACAGGTTCTAGCAAGGTAAATAAAAACCAAACTACTTCCAAATACTTTCAAAAACATTTTATTTGAAACATATCAATACACAAAGTGTTGTTTACATGCATAATAAAATAATTTATGCCTAATATTAATGTCTCTCTGGCTATGACAGTCATCTAATGACTAAAATGTGACTGAAAATGACCAGAACCATCAACCAGTGACATTTCTCTCCCAGTTCTTCTACCGCGCTGACCATCAAGTGTTGAACGATAGAAGTCTATAGGGCACAGCACGCGTACAAATCGCACCAAAAAATACAATTTCAATTCGCTATGTTGGTATCCAATTTAAACGTGAATCTCACAAACAGGTCCAGATCGCATTTTACCCAAAGTCATGACAAAATTCATATTTTAAATTATATTTTCTTTGATATTTTGCTAAAGGAAAATGAAGCCTATTTTTAGGACCTAGGGGGGAAAAAATCATCCACAATTGCCCAAAAATTGGCTTTATTTTCTTTAATATGTTTTTTTTTTCCTTTAGATTTTAAGGTGAAATATGCCCAGACAAGGTCTTAATAAGATTTGCCTATTATATTTTCTAGTTCCTTTTGCTAAACAAACAAAAACAAAGGGAACAAAACAAAATAAGAGATTAACAGAAAGCAGTGTGTTGCTGTCAAAGCTGGTTAAGAGTTGAATTATTGCACAAATTCTTCAAATCATATCAGATCATACACCTACTGTGTAATTCATCCCTGTTGAATGTGTTTTCAAAGTCTGAAATGAATTTGTTTCATCAAAACAAATGCACAGACTCTCAACTATTTATATATTTAAACATATATCCTATATACAGCATCATAGGCTGTCCTGCTTGTTTCAACGGCAAAAGATTACTTCTTTTTGTACAAAAGATTTCCTTAAAATCTCTAAATATGCACCTTTAACCCATACCCATCCCCATCATCACTAACCAAAATCAGACATTATATGATGAGTAACAGCTATGGCTTTGAAGACAGTTAATGGGATGCTGGACAAGTTTACACAACATTGATTTTTGATGCTTGTTTCATGTTTGTCCGATTAAACCAACTGCATTTTCTGGCTATAAAAGGTGCATGTTATGTTTTTGTTTTTGCTTCAACTTCAATATCAATGAGATATTCAACCATCATTCCAATTTATACTGCAAAGAAAATCTTCTGGAAGATGACTACTTGGAATACTTATGAGACCTGGGTGTCGAATACAACAATCTGGGGTTAATCGCAACATAATTAGATAAATAATGACAACCAGAAGAGCAGGAAAATGCTTGAGGTTTTGCAGTGGTGACAGACTGCAAGACAATCGCTTAGCATAGATCTCAAAGTATTGGTGCAAAACCAATCAAGATAAATAAATGGTAAGCACACAAAACGTTACACATTTAGTTTGAGGTTTTCTCACTGCCAGAACAACAAGGAAACTACTGAGCCAACAAATAAAAGCTAATTTTGATGTTTCAACTCCATGACGGAGGGATTTGAAGGAATACTGAATTCTTTCTACTGCTTTTTAGAGATTTTTCCCAGACTCTTGTGAAGGGAAATACCAGAGTAATAATCTAATGGCTAGCCCTGATGTGTTAAATGACCAAAAATACATTTTTAAAAACCCACACAGATATAAATCCCTTTAGAAAATCTGCTCTCTCTATGATAGTTTGGGGTCTTCAGGGACAGGGGACTGGAAGTTAAAAAAGGAGATGGTCAGGTCTTCGGCTGGTTCTGACCCGAAATACGAGTCGCCCTCCAGCTCCAGAAGCATGGGCAGGTCGGTGGCACTGGTTTCAGTGCTGACGGGGTCGGGAAGAATCACGGGCTGAGACGTGTACTGGACCAGCTGCTTGCCTGAAAACACCATTTGGTCACATTTAGTTGCATAAACACTACACACCTTTTACACCAAAAAATATCAAAAGACTGCAACAGTAATTTTTTTTTGTAATTTTAACAGTAAAAGACTAAAAATGGTACAGGAAAAACCTGTTCATTGGTTAACAGCATGTTTCCATACTATATGGTGAAAAACTGTAAAATACTGTTACAGATTTTGTAATGAAAAATTATCTTCTTAATTACATCTGCTTCTTGTGACAAACTCTAGTTTGTCATGTGTCTCTTTTACCACCTGTATTATTACGGTGGTTATCAGTATATTATGCAGTTACAAAATAAATGTTATAAATTTTGATGGAATATTAACACTACATTATTTAATAAAACAAACAGTTTTTTTACCGTAAATTTAATTAAATTAACGCAGGAGGAGGAAATGCGCCGGCGCGCTGGTTAAGCTCCGCTAGCGCGGCTTTTGAACTGCGCTCCCAAGCATTCATCTTGCGAATGTCCATTCCCTTCTTAACAAAACGGATGGTTTTTGAAGCTGCAGCCACCAATATGGATGAGCTCACAGATGTAACTTCATATATCAGTTTCAGTGAGGATATGTGCATTCCTATCACTCAATAATGATAAACCATGGTTTCCTGGGAAACATAAACAACTTCATTGTGCCAAAGAGGATGCTTATAGAAGAGGGGACAAAATCTTGTACAACCAGGCCAGAAACAGACAAACAAAGGAGAGCTATTCTGAAAAGCTGAAAAAACAGTTTTCAGCCAACGACCCGGCGTCAGTATGGACTGTTCTGAGGAACATCAAGTACAAGACACCACCCCCACAGTCTGTGGAGAATCAACAACTGGCTGACGATCTGAATGTGTTTTACTGCCGGTTTGAAAAGCCCAGTCTCACACACACCACCCACTCCGATCTGCATTTCACACATACACAAAACACCTCCTGCAACACTCCTCCCCTCTCCTGCCATTCAACCTGCATTTATGGTCTGTATGGAAGAAAAGGAAAGCTTCAGGCCCAGACAGTGTTTTACATGCCTGTGTAAAAGTCTGTGCTGACCAACTGGCTCCTATCTTTACACAGAGCTGTGTGAAGTTCCCTGCTGCTTCAAACGTTCCACTTTCATTCCGGTCCCCCCAAAAAAACAAAATTACTGGACTTAATGACTACAGACCTGTCACTCTCACGTCTGTTGTCATGAAGTCATTTGAGAGACTGGTGTTGGCCTATCTGAAAGACATCACTGGACTCTTGCTGGATCCTCTTCAGTTTGCGTGCAGAGCAAACAGGTCTGTGGATGATGCAGTAAACATTGGACTGCATTATATTCTACAACATCTCGATAGACCTGGGAATTATGCAAAGATCTTGTCTTTAGTCTTCAGTTCGGCTTTCAATACCATCATGCCTGACCTTCTCTCAGACAAACTGACTCAGCTCTCTGTGCCCTCTCCAATCTGTCAGTGGATCACCAGCTTCCTGACAGACAGGCAGCCGCAAGTGAGGCTGGGTGAACTCACATCCAGCACTCTCACCATCTAAACTAGCGCCCCTCAGGGTTGTGTGCTCTCCCCACTGCTCTTCTCCCAGTACACCAACGACTGCACCTCTAAAGACCCCTCGGTCAAGCTCATGAAATTTGGAGATGACACTACCATCATCGGCCTCAGACACATTGGAGACGAGTCTGCGCACAGACAGGAGGTTAAAGAGCTGGCTGTCTGGTGCAGTCAAAACAACCTGGAGCTGAACACGCTCAAAACAGTAGAGATGATCGTGGACTTCAGGAGGAACCCCCCTTGCACTCCCCCCACTCTCCATCATAAACAGCACTGTGGCTGCAGTAGTCATTCAGGTTCCTGGGCACCACCACCTTTCCGGACCTGAAGTGAAAAGAAAAAAGAAAAAAAGGCCCAGCAGTGGCTGTACTTCCTTCACCAGCTGAGGAAGTACAACCTGCCACTGGAGCTACTGAAACAGTTCTACTCGGCCATCATTGAGTTCGTCCTGTGTTTATCTATAACTGTCTGGTATGGGTCAGCTATCAAATCAGACATCAAGAGACTACAAAGGACAGTCAGGACTGCTGAGAAGATTATTGGTTCCCCACTGCCCAACCTCCAAGATCTTTACACCTCCAGAGTAATAAAAAGGGCTAAACAAAGCCCAGACAAAGCACCGACCACTATAACAGCTAGGTACAAGAACAGTTTCTTCCCGCAGGCTATATTCAGCTTGAACAATTAAAACTTTTAGAACTTCACATTGTCCATTATAACTGACACTTTTATACATAGCATCTGAATATTGTACATTTGTAAACTACATAAACTGTACACTTGTAAATAACATCTGTATATTCATTAAAACAATTATATATGTTTTTTCTCTACATTTCTACTTCTGTATTATATTGCATTTTTATCTAACTGTGTAATTCCTATGCATGTCTGCACTATCATGTTGTTTGCACTATGTCTGTACTTTCTTCTGCACTGGTAGCTCCTGCCACCAGGACAAATTCCTTGTGTGTGTAAACATACTTGTCAATAAAGCCCTGACTCCTGAAAATATTGCTACCATATTTTTTTTACGGTAAAGTGGTGGCAACCATGTGTCGTTTCTTACCATATATTTTTTGGGGTTAATTTATTTATTATTACAGTGTATATCTTTGCATTTTAAAACAAAATTTTAATTTTCAAGCACCCGAAATACCTGAATCTTCAGAGTCACCAGATTCAGTTTCTTTCACAGGTTCAGGTGACAGAAGGTCCTGGATCTGTAAAAAGACCACAGATGTATGATTAAGACAAGCAATATGCAGATTTCTGGAGTGCTCACCACGTCTGAAAAATTAAGATGTTAAGACTTCCCACACAACTTATGCTTTTATGTAAAGTGAAAGTAAATCGCATGAACAGGTATTAACCCTACAGCAATCTGCAGTTAAACCATCTTTACTTCTAGCAATCTGATAAACATCTATCATTTGAAACCATGTCAAATATTTTCCGTTAAACAGATCAGATGAGTTTGTTTGAAGTCTTTGCATTCTGTGAGTCGTGGTTCTTCTGCAGCTGTTAGACACTGAAGTTTCTTAATCACACAAGCAGTCTGCTTTCTCAGTGTTATCGCTGTGCTTTATATTTTCTATATACAAAATTATAGCTGGAATAACTATATAAATAATATATAAATTACAAAAGGAAAAAAAAAGATTAATAAATAAATAAAACTTACACTAGCCAGGCTGTCCAGATCCATATCAATAGAAGACGATGTGAAAATCTGCGAAACACAACAATACAATAACAATAAATAATAGTACATTATTCAACAGTACATTATTTAAATGTTTTACTTTACAGCATTTATACACTCATACATACATGAATTGTATACAAAAAAAAATACAATTATTAACATAATACAAGATCTATTATAGTTTTTCTTTTTTTAAATATCAATTTCACTTAGTTCTAATATTTGGTGTTCAAGACTGAAACAATATTTACATCAAAGAAAGGCGAGGTGTCGAAGTTAATGGACTGAGCATTGAGGATATGCTGAAGGTTGTCTAACCCAGAGTCAATGGTCTCTAGATGATCACTTAGTTCTGCCCTGTGGTAGAAAGAGAAAGCAAAGAAAATCATCTCTCAAACTCCACACACAAACCAGCCAGTTCCACTCTCCAAAAACCACTCTCAAATAATGTTTACTTCTACAAAAGCAGCCAATAAAAATCAGCAATTTCACTTTAGCAATAACAGGAAGAATTTCCTATAAAACACTCTATTAAAAACGGGAGAGACGCCGGTCCCCAGAAAGATCAAAACTGTGATGATGATGACACAGAGGGAGGCGGAGCTGCTGACCTCATCACATTAGTATCCAACCAAGGGTAGGAGGGGAACAGGGGTCAAAGGGCGATTGGGTAAATGGAGGTTTCAATGAGAGCACAAAACATGCGTCTTGGTTCAAATGCCATGCCACACTCCACACTTTCTTCCCACTAGACATCATAAATTGTGCGATCATGCCGTTGCACTTCTCAAATTAAGCTCAAGAGCTCCCGAAGGCCCTATTTTCACTTTCTACACCCTCCAGCACATCTGAGCCCACCAATAAGCATTCAGCGTTTCTCAGGTATACTGGGGCAGAAATGACTGAATGAGTCTGAGCCTGGTCAACTACTGTTGCTTTTACATGTGCTCTAGAAATAAATTAAACTTGAGCAGACAAGCTAAGCGCGGTTAACGTCTATGTGATTCAGCACAGCGTCAAGTGTTCTGGGGACGGATCGGCCAACTGAAATGCTGACCCGGAATGAGGCCTGAGGTGTAGAGACGAGGCGGAGAAGCTGGAGAAAAGGCGAGAGATCTCAGACATCTGAGGATAACTGGAAAGACAGAAGCACAACATGGCACTGGAGACAGCAGGGGGCGCTACACACATCAACAGGCCTCTGCCACAGTCAAAAACGGTGCTGTTTTAGGTGGAACGGAAACTAGAGCCAATGTAGGTGGGGGTGAAGTACAGATCGTTCTGAATTGGGGTTTTATTGAAGTCCAGGTGTTTTGAAGCCACCAGACATTGCCGAATGGTTATAAAGGTTGGTGTTCTTGAACAGACCTCAAAATATTTTCTTTTAATAAGCCCTAGTTTTATGTCTTCAAACCAATCTGTAAAGGTGAGCCACCGGGGATATAATTGCCAAAACCAGATATAAACTAGAAAACTACATATTAGTCAACACTTTGAAAATTAGACTAATTACATTGGATTTGCACAGTAACTTGAACCTGCAGACGTATGAACTTAAGTTCAGCAAGCAGTGTGATTTTGTGTATGCTAATGCTTTCACGTCATGGGTTTCATTTACCAAACAACAATCAAGTACACATTAGCTTACACTTTAATTACTCATAAAATAAAAGGGCCCCGAATTTAGTGCCATAGGGGCCATAAGACGACTTGAATATGAAAATGCACTGGCTCATATGAATATCTGGAAAAGTGTTAGTATTACTCACTATGCCAGTCTGCCAGTCTAAACCGAGCAGCCAAATGCCACAAATAAATGCAGCTGAAAAATTAGTTGACAGCACTGATTCTCCTGGGACATTTTAAAAAAAGGACCTGCTCATTAGTTTTTTAGCTTTTCTGATTGATGTGGAAATGGACAGTTCACCTAGAAATGAAAATCCTGTCATTAAATACTTACCCACATCATTTAATACACATAATTCTTTTGTACAAAATTCAAAAGGAGCAATCTAGATGAAAGTAGACGATGCTCTTTTCCATACAATGAAAGTGGACGGTGACAAACAGGGTTATTTTAGCATTATTGACACACTAGTATAGTTTTTGTTGATATTTTGAATTAGATTTTATTTTTATTATATTTTATTTTCACATTAATTTAGTCATTTTATTGTGTTTATTGTATTTTTATTTGATATCATTTTTGTTATTTTAGTACTTCAAGGTTAACTCAACTTAAATAAGAAATGTTGCCTTGGCAACTAGCTGAATTAAAATAGTTTTTATATTTTATTTTATTTCAGTTAACATTTATTTAAAGTAATGAAAATATTTCATTATATTTTTCTTTATATTTAGTTTTAGTTAGTGAAAACATCCCTTGGACAAAAAAAAGCACCATGAAGTGTCATAAGTAGTGCATTCAGTTCATTCTTTTGAAACCATATGATCATTTTGTGTGAGAACAGACCAATAATTGTTCTGCAATTCTTCTTTGCAATTTCATGTTCGAAACGGCTGTTTGTGATAAATCTGAGAATGTTTGCTTGCATACAGAATCGATACACACTAGAAGATCAAAGGTAGACACTGTAGAAGATCAAAGAGAAGAAACTATGTGGCATGAAAGGGAACTATGAGAATAGTGTTACTCGGTAAAGGAAGACTGTGAACTTAAACTGAGCAGAGAAGCAGTAGCTTTGTTTGTCCTAAACCAGGGGTAGGCAAGTTCGGTCCTAGAGAGCCATAGTCCTGCAGAGTTCAGCTCCAACCCTAATCAAACACACCTGAACAAGCTAATCAATGTCTTCAGGATTACTAAGGCTATAGGCAGGTGAGTTTTGTTTTCAGGGTTGGAGCTGAACTCTGCAGGACTGCGGCTCTCTAGCACCGAACTTGCCTGCCCCTGTCCTAAACGGATGTACATTTGTTGGTAAAACTCACTTGTCCAAGCAGGCCAAGCTCAGACACTTCTGGTCATTGGGAGGCGGGGTCAGGGCGGTGACAAGTTCGCTCTCTTGGAGGATGGAGTTGATGAAAGTTATAGGGGAAAGGGGCATGTCCACAGGTACACCTGATCCCACCCCCACTTCCACTTCAACAGGACACACCTCCTCCACCTCAGGACTGTGGGTGGGGCTAGAGGGCTCCTCCTTGACATGGACCAGTGGGCTTGTTCTGTGATAAAAAAAACAAAAAAAACAAATGATGTCAAGACAGCTTCAAGACTTTCACATTTTTTTTTTTTTTACATTTTCAAAAAAAAAAGTTTACTCTTACAGTTGATCCATGTCAACGAGGTTGTAACATACAAACTTAGAGGGGAAAACTGCTTCGTTAGAAAATTGAAAAAAAGTACTTATTTGTCATGAAAATGTCACAATGTATTTTTAATGTATCACAGAAACTTGTCCATACTAATTTATTATTCTAATTGTATCAGTTAACGGTTAATGATCGGATAATGAGCAGCGGTTGTCAGTCAGGAAAATTAACCTAAATGAGTATCCCTAATCGTAATTCCCATTATACTCAAGATTTTTATTACAGTAATAATCAAAATCAAATTACTGTGATAAAGTACAGATTTTTTGTTAAAAACTAATGTTTTAAAATGTTTATGTGTAAACACTACATAACACTTTTTTCATATAACAATAATGAAAATGATGCTAATTGTGCATCAATTAAGTTGTTTGAAATCTATATATATGTGTGTGTGTGTGTATATATATACACACACATATTGTGACTTCTTTTGACCCATTTTCTGAAACTTGCCTGTCTTCAATCCACTCCTCTGTGGCCACAGGATTGGACTGCGCCAGTTCAGTTATATCAGAGATGATTGGCCCCGTCTTGACAGGCGATTCAGAAGTGAAGACACCCGTTCCTGTGAAAGCTGTAGAGGAGGGCTTCACAGAGGAAAACATACTTTACACTTAACAAATCTGGAAATCATTGGAATATTCAAGCTCAGAATTTGAGATATAAGCATGCAGTACTCACAGAGAGAGAGGGAGAAGACTCGAGCGAGTACTGCCGAGAGTATTTGGGCATGGAGTGTGTGGAGCTGCCATCATTCAACATCAGGGGCCTGTGAACAAACAGAGAGAAAGAAAGAGAGAGAGAAAAAAATCCCCCATAAAATAAAGGGCACAACAGAAGAGGTGAAACGTTAGAATGGACAACACTCACAGTTAACAACATTTCATATACTGTACTACACTACAGTTAAAGGGGTCATAGGATGCCCATTTTCCACAAATCGTTATGATTATTTAGGGTCTTAATGAAAAGTCTGTAACATAGTTTGGTTAAAATTTCTCAATGGTATTGTAAAAAAACACCTTTTTACCCTGTCAAATACAGCTCTTTTCAGAGCACGCAATTTTGTAGCATTTTCCTTTAAATGTTAATGAGCTCTGCTGACCCCGCCCGAGCCGCTTTTAGAGGGACTGTTCACTTTAGCCGCATTCATTGTGAAACTAGCTAATTAGCACATTATTAGGAAAGGCGATTTGCAAAGATTCATTAAAAAAAACCTTACACTCACTTCTTCTGAAGGTGAAGCTGGTTTACAAATGATTCGCGCGAACATAGACGCATTTATGTAAATCGGGGCGCATTCTCTTCAAAAACAAACGTAATCCACTGTGTCTTCAGCGGCTCAGATGTCGGGAGTAAATGACGACTGCTATGTTCATTATTACATCCAACAACAATCCTCAATCGTTCAGGAGTCATTCTTGTCTACATCTGCTCCGGCGGTGAAACAATGGCGGACTGATGACAGCTCACTCAGGGCGGAGCTAAGGTAAGACACCAGTCCAGTCTGTGCTGAAACGCTACTGTCAATCAAACTATCGTGGGAGGGGCCTTCTGAGATCGGCTTGATTTGAGAAAGGGGTAAAGATTTGAGCAGATTAAAAAAAAAAAAAAACACTGGGTGGTTGTGTCAAACAACTTGTAAAAGTGCATGTAGCAACATATGACCCCTTTAAATAGCAAGCTATCAATGTGAATATATGTGTTAATCTGAGGTTGACTTGCATCTTTCGTTTCACTCCCAGGACTCTGTTGGACCGTGCCAGTGTGATCAGGAACTGAATGAGCTGTGGAAACAAAAGAAAAAATCGATTACAACTTTTTTCTTTGACATTCGCATGTATATGTAACTTCTAAAATACATTCAGATGATTTTTTTTTTTAAATACATCAGTTAAAAATCTAAGAATAAAAACATTTTCTATTTACATTAAAAACTGTAGAGTCCAGTAAAATATGGATGTAGGTTAGGTAGGTTAGTTTCGAAATTTAGTAATATCAGTGGATCCTCTGCAGTGAATGGGTGCCGTCAGAATGAGAATCCAAACAGCTGATAAAAACATCACAATAACCTACAAGTAATCCACACGACTCCAATCTATCAATTAACGTCTTGTGAAGAGAAAATCTGTGTGTTTATTAGAAACAAATCCTAAAGAAAAATTTTAACTTCAACCCATCACTTTTGGCCAAAGAACAATCCATAATAACACTTCCTCCAGTGAAAAAGTCTACCCCTTGTTGTCCTTTCACATCAAAATCCACAGACATATTTGTTCAAAACTGTTTTGGACAGTTTTCACTGTGCATATTTCTCTCCTGATTCAGATGAGAAAACGTTTTCACTTTAGAAAGCAATGGATAAAGGACTCTTATTTATTTTATTAAAATAATACTTAATAAATATTTTACATGACTGAAGTGGTGTGGATTATTGAGATGTTTTTATCAGCTGTTTGGACTCGCGTTCTGACGGCACCCATTCACTGCAGAGGATCCATTGGTGAATCAAAATGAATCTGTCATGTTTTGGAAATAAAATGTGATGCTTATGCCATTTCATTTTGACTTTAAACTTATAAGGCTGCCTCTGAGGCTGGAATGGATGAATTTTTAACAGCAAAGGCTTTGTTGCGACTTTATACCAACAAATGTATGCGTCACTCTGAAAGCAGGAGAAAGTTTGCTGATTTTACCTTATTGACGACTTTCTGCTGTTGAGCATGTTTCTGTCTCAAAGTGGCAACTTCCCTCCAGAGACCCTCATTCTCACTGCGGGAGAGAGACAGAAAGATGAAATATAAAGCTTCAGGCAATGAGTTCTGTTAGAAATTGTCAGAACTGAAATTTTCATGCATGTTTTGTTCACAATTATTTGTCCACAGCACTAAACTTTGTAAACACTACTGAAAAAAAAAAAATACTCTGGGGCGGTTGTTTTTTTCAGGGTGTCTGAGTAAGGCCTGCTTCTCTTAAACTCTGCTTCCTTGACACTGATAAAATGGCATTTTAAGTGTGCGCTCACAAGTCCAATATAGCCACAGAAACACGGCCTAAACACAGTCCAGCACACAGGAACAAATCCACAGGAAAATACTGAACATCACTGTGGTGGAAATGAAAAAATTCAAACACAACGATGCCGAAGAAATCCTACAGGTTAAAGAACATTTGAAATCATAGACAAAAAAGTTTAAACGACAAAACTTTTATGAAAAATCTATTACACAAACAACTGCATGGTCTTTTCATAAGCACAGCTGCGTTGCCTGAAAGATCTGCTTAGGAAGCACAACATACAGGAAACTTTACTTTAGTTTGGGGACCAATTCTCACGATTAACTAACTATTAACTACGAGTTTTGCCTCAGTAATCTCCTAATTTGTTGCTTATTAATAATTAGTAAGGTAGTTGTTAAAGGGGCCATGAACTGCACCTTTTAAATATTTGATGTTTCCATAGGTGCACTAATAATGTTAGTATGATTTTTACATCAAAATTGGTCATAATATAGAAATAAAAGGACATTTTCTACCCTGATTTTAGCCCTCTGATTTGAACGTTTTTTGAATATTGAATATAATTTAAGATTAGGCATCAGAATGAACACGGTTACTTGCATGCTGTTGTATTACTATTACGCCCATATCTTACAGTAAAAGTCTGTTTGCAAAGCCTGCGCCAAAACTGTGACTGATTTACCAAAGTGAAATGTACTGAAAAATTAATGCTCTACTTAGACTTCCTCATTGTTAAAAATAATCACTTTCCTAGAATTAGGATCCTTTGGAAGGTAATGGGTTTCTTTAGTTAATTCAGTGATCCTGTATTTCTGTTCTCTCCTCATCGCAGTAACGCTCCAGTGGGCGGAGCTAAAAAGGCAGTGATGTAGAAGCAGGTGTTGATCTTCTTCTGCGGAGGCGGGGTTTAGCCACACTATTACATCATAAAGTGGCACATTCCAAAACCTGTTGTTTATGCAGATTGGCAATTTAAGCTGTTTTTAGACGAACAATAAAGTTTTGAGTTCTGAAACTTACAGAATGTTTTTATAGTACAAAGACCTCTTCGATGTCAAAACCTCTTTTATGATTTCTCCACTCATGACCCACTTAAGTTTCAAAAACAGAAAAAGTAAATACACTAATTATCTATAAATGACAAACAAAAACTAAACGTATAAAAAAAACATTTAATCTGTGATATATAAAAAAAAAATCTTTTCATAAGAGACCTATTAATTAAAACCATCAGTCCATCAAAATATATCTATATACTGTATGAAAAATGAATAATACGTAACAGTTTTTGCTTAAGAAAATTTAAAAAGTAAAAATATAATAATATAAATTAAGCAATGCATAGACCTCATTAAGTAAATTATCAATATTTTATATTAAAAAGATCAAAAATGTAGATATAAAATATAAATGATACACTATATAAAAAGCAGTGTTTGCATGTTTTACACTGCAAAACATTTTTTAAAGCCGTTACTTAGTAATTTCTATGTAAAAATGATTTCCAAGTATATCCAGATTTTTTTTTTTTTTCATTGTAACCTATCAGGAATATTTGACTTGAGTGACATCATCTGTGTCTGACATTCATCTCATGGACTCCCTGCAGACGGGTCTCTTATATCAAGTAAGAGACCGAGATTATGAGAGGACTCAGCTGCATTATAACCCAGCATTGCTCATCTGTAAAACAGTAGAGTGCAGGAAGAAGCTCTTTAAGAGTCCCCTCGTCCGATCATGTGCCCTTCCCCTGCTCACCCCTCAGCAGATGGGACGGGGGTTTATGAGGCAGGTGTAGATTCCTGTAAGCAGGGTGATCAGACCTCTCCACTCAGACTCAGAAAAAGACAAATTGGAGGCAATTTCCTTTAAAATCACTTTCAAAATCTCCTTCACGTCAAAACAGACTTTCAAAAACCTAACAATCCAAACAAAAAAAAATAATCACAATTTGTCTCAATTGTTTAAAGTTATTGAGAATAATAGTACATTTTTAAATTCTAAAATCAGCGAATTTAGTTTGAAAGGCAAGAAAATAAGTATATTTTACTGTTTGATGATATTTCACACTGAACTTTAAAAATAAGTTGATTTATCAATAAATTAGCCATTATGAATTAGCATTTCTCTATTGTTTTCTATATGTTGGCTGCATATTTATTAAAAATAGACACTTGTGCTAATGTATTAAATGTGTTAAATACAATTAACAACATTACACAATAAATATGCTGTGCTAAATACAAGCTCCATTTATGGAAGCTTACGGGGCAAACATACATAAATAAAATACAGATTTTTTTATATATATTAAATATCATTGAATAAATATTAAATATAAGTCATTTCAATTTTTTTGTGTATTAATTAAATATTGTTTTAATATTCAGAAAATTCTCTTAATTTTACATGTTAACACATTAACTACAGCAGCCATTCTGAAAACATATTACATTCATTGACTTGCATTTAAAATGTATAATTAAATAAACTTAAAACACACCTTAGGTGTCAGAACATTAGATTGACTGACGTTAAAATTATTTAAAAAAAACATTTAAGATGATTTGTTGGATTTCAGAAATCTGTAACATATTCAGAGGACTAAAAGCCAAAAATCAATGCAAAACTAAGTTATTGCACGGGTGACATGTCCAAGCAAACATCATCCGTAATATTCTGCCTGTGTGTGTACCAGATGACTACTTGTGTGTGTGTGTGTGTGTCACAAACACATGACAAACCCTACAGACCCTTCCAGCTGTGAGAGCGACAAAATGCCTTCAGACAAGCTGAGAGCAGCTGCCGAACCACATCACACTGGCGTGAGGACAGCCGTCTGTTTTAGAGCCATGACTAACAGGGTTTAAAAAGGTGAAGCATTAATAACCGGTCACAAACCTGGCAGAGATTAACCCACATTCATGTCTTAAGCGTTACACTTTGAACTGCAATTGATATATGAAAACAAATAACAATAATTCAGAATATTAATAAAAACTATCATAGTATCTAACTGATGCTGAAATAACAATGATCTGAATTTGTACCTCAGTGTGCATAAATAAATAAAAAGGTGACTTGAAATAAATAAAATGCACTCACAGTTCTGAACTTACTATGGAAGTCTATTGGACATATGTACACAAATACAATGCAGAAAATATAATTTTATGTATTATTAAATACTCACACTTTTCCCAGTAGGTTTAGGGACTACATGAAAGCCAGTTTAGACACTAAACAGTCACTTATATATATATAAAAACCCAGTTAGTGAAACAAAAAATTTAAAAATAACATGCACTCACAGTTCTTACTACTTACTGTAGAAGCCTATTGGGCAAACATGCACAAATACAATGCAGAAAACACTCTTTTAAATATGATTAAATATTTAAATATTAAATAAAAAATTTTATTATTTTAACGCAGAAAATTGTTTTAATTCCTTTAATAAGGTCTAACCGCTTGGCTGGCAACAAGCCAACTATTACATCAGTCAAACTTTTCCCAGTAGGTTTAACAACTATATGAAAGCCGGTTTAGAGCAAATTAATCCAGAACCAGAAGAGGAAATGGCAGACAAATGTTTTGGCCAAACCTAAATGCAATGTGACTTACTGTTTGAGGGTGCTGATTTTGGAGTCCATCGACTCCTGCTTGCCCTTCATGAATTGGACATCTGTGATCACTTTAGACATTTCTTCAGAGTTCAATTTGAAGTCCTCGTGTTTAATATTTGACACCTGCAGATGGACACAATGAAAACGTCAAGGATACAAACTGAGGAGTGTGCGTGTGTGTGATTGCAGGGGTGAGTCGAGTCTGTCGTGACCCGTTTCCGAACCCTCACATAGTGGAAAGCATGTGCTAACGGTTTGATTTCCACCCCGAGCTGGACATTTGGACAGAGCAGGAGAGGAAAGACAATAAATCAGAGTTTTGGAAAGTGGCGTCGATGGAGCATCAGAGTGACGCCAGATTAAGTGCCCCAGAACCTCGGCCTCTAATCCACACGTCTCCAGCTGGCTTCCTCTCAGACCTGTTGATTATCGCAATCTGTCACGGAGCCAACGTGAAAAAGAGGGACACCGGGATTCAAAGTGGCCCGAGGAAACCCAGCAGAGCACATGGAAACCATCACACACACAAAACGGTTTTACTTGATCTGGTTACCTATCACCAGACTCTGTGCACTGAGATCTCTGCACAATTTCTGATTGGAAATATATAAATCGCTAATATCCGAACAGAAGTGGAACAGTCTTAAAGGGATAGTTCACCCAAAAATGAAAATTTGATGTTTATCTGCTTACCCCCAGGGCATCCAAGATGTAGGCGACTTTGTTTCTTCAGTAGAACACATATGATGATTTTTAACTTTAACCGTTGCAGTCTATCAGTCGTATAATGCATGGCAATGGTAACAAAATCTATGAGAGTAAAAAAAACATGCACAGACAAATCCAAATTAAACGCTGTGGTTTGTGATGACACATTGATGTCCTAAGACACGAAACGATCGGTTTGTGCCAGAAACCGAACAGTATTTATATCATTTTTTACCTCTAATACACCACTATGTCCAACTGTCTTTGGGCGAGCGTTATATAAAAAAAATTATATAAATACGGTTCAGTTTCTGGCACAAACCGATCGTTTCATGTCTTAGGACTTCAATGTGTCGTCACGAGCCGCGGGGTTTAATTTGGATTTGTCTCTGCATGTTTTTTTTTACTGTCATAGATTTTGTTACCATTGCAATGCATTATACGACTGATAGACTGCAATGGTTAAAGTTAAAAATCACCAAGAACATACTCATTAAAATGAGAAAATGCTAATATATCAGTCAAGTCCATCAAGTGTATATAACAGAAAAAACACCGCAATAGAAAGCCTTCACTGCTAGTTTCACCCCTACATTAGAAACTACACAAAATGCTGGACCAGTCCAGTAAGAAAAGTTCATTTATAATCCCACTTTATTATGTTTTTCCCTGTGAGAAAATGTAACTCTGGCAATTGTTCATTTATAAGTGAAACTCTGCAGGTTTCAAAGCCAAACATGAACAGCAGGGAATCCCCCAAAAACCCAGATCAATTCAGTCCGCATTAGTGGTCTGACATCACGACTGTGTCCTAAATTAATTTCAGCCTGACCGTAAAGCTGCTTTGGATCAAAAAAGCCCCTCTGAAAATACAAACTAATTATAAAAACCTGGACATCATTCAAAACCCTGCTCATATATTCGCAGATGTTTCAGCAAAGGCGGGTCATCAGGAAGATGAGTTTCTACCTACCGTTGTGACTTTCCTCTTGATATTCTCCAGCAAATGCTCCTGTCCGCGGATGAAATATGGATGCTGGAATTCTGTGTCGTCTTTCTCTGGTTTTACCAGCCCACCCTGCTCGATGTGGACAACTTTCCGAAAACCATCTAAGAGGAATATATTAATGTGTTATAAGCATAGTATCGTATCTTAACTGCTTTCGGCTTCAAACTCTTAAAAGAGTTTTTAAATAGATAAAGAATACAGCAGCTAAAATAAGCATCTGAGCACCTTGAAAAGTGCTCTATAAATAATATGTGTAATTATCATCATCAAATATATGAAGAGGTCATTTGCAAAAACCGATAACTCCAATTATTATTATTTTTTTCAGAAATCAGTTTTTTTTTATTGCGCATTCCAAGTAATATCAATCAAACTGCAGTTGGGTTGTTTTGATGAAGTAATAATAACTTAAACAAGTGCAGGTAATTTACAAAATTAAAGTTAATTGAAAGTATGTTTGTTTTTGTTTTGCCTATTAAAAGTTTGTTTTATAACAAAAGCAGATAACTCCACATTTCATGTTTTAGAGTTTAAAAAAAACACTCGTTTCATCTTTGTAATCTCCTCAGATGACAATGTAGATGCCTGACAAACATTGTTGTGATCATAAACTGTATGGATGTGATTACACGCAATACACAGAGCTTTTCCCTCACCATTGTAACGTGCTGCTTTTGCAAGGTTCTGTGAAAACGTTTCAGCTCGCGATGCCTTGAAAGTGGACAAAACCGGCTTTTTTGACAAAACGTATTTAGGGATCAGATGATCCCTGCATGTGGAGAATAATGCACGGCAATCAGCTTTTATTTTTTATTTTTTTTTTTATTTTTTTTTTTTAAGTGCCGTTTATCGGTTTTTGCAAATGAACTCTTCATATCTAAACTGTTAAATGTGGACAATTAGGGAATGACACAATGAAACACTGCTTTTGAAACAAGGTGTTTTGTGGAAAAATCTATAGAAATAAACCGACGTAACTTAAAATATTGATTTTCATCCAGTTTTGTATTTCTCAACAAAAGGCAAAGCAAAATCTTTTTTTCTGTCAATATGGGGTGCTGTGTGTACATTAACGAGGAAAAAAAATTAACTTAAATGATTTTAGCAAATGGCTGCAATATAACAAAGAGTGAAAAATTTAAGGGGGTCTGAATACATTCCGTACCCACTGTATATCCTCCTGAGAACCAGAAATAAAAAGCTTTGTGAATTTAGTATTTCTTCATGTCATTACATTGTTTAGAGCATAAGAAAAAAATGCTAAAATAACATTTTTGGAAAATGTTCAATTCCAATAAATTTTTAGGTTTCAGGATTTTTTTTATAACTAACTTTGTTTAAGGATGGTTCTCAACTATGTTCTAAAATATATAACAAAATGATTTGATATACCATTTTGCTTTATGAAATATGTGTGTAAAAATGCCATAAAATGGTTTTCCCATTACGCACAATGTTATCTATACACTGCATCTAATTTGCATATTAAAAAGTGCTGTTGGGACAGCATGTTGAAAAAAGAAGTGTAATAATGGGAGTAGTAATTGGCCAGATTTTCATAATAATATCTAATATTTCATAAGAATATTGATGTATAATTTGTTTTCCTATTCAATTCTTTTGTCTCCCAAAATGTATAATAAACATGCTTTTAGTCCTGGTGTCCTCTACAGTGGACATTATGAAATTATGTCCTGTTTCGTAACAGAAGGTCATATTTTGATTTGAAACCCCATAACATTTTCCTGAGATGTTGATTTATGACAAACAATTTGAAATGTAATCAGATTTAAATTACTAAATATTATCATATTTCCATAAGGATGTACAATTTTATCACTAAATTAATGTCAGCCATTTCTAAAAACCAAGTAGAGGGAGTGGCCATGGTGAAACATCCAATCATTTGGTATCTCTGGAAAGCCCTGAATGTGCTCTGTACAGGACATCCAGACTTAAAACTGTGACATGTGAGGTCTCAGAGAAATTCACTAAAATATAATGTCCACTACAGAGGCAAAAACTCCATAGCTGGGTCTCAGGAGGATATATTTTTTACGGCATTAAAAACCTTATCATTAAATGAATGTTTAAAATTAGATTGTGTAGGCAAATATGACAATCAACAATCAATCTTTATTACAGACTCAAGGTCCAAATAAAAAAAAACAAGACAATTGGACAACATATACAACCCACAGCATCTACCACCACAATAAAAGGTTACAAAATACAACAATACCAATGTCTCCACAGCTTTGACTGATACCGTGTAGTACTAACCCTTATATTTGATAGACCCACAATTTTTGAAGCATTTAGCCGGCAGATAAATCTATACATAAGATTTCGTAACAGTGCTTTAAAAGTTATTACTCTTGCACTCACAAACATTTCACTTGCACTATGCCACCTAGGTCTCTTTAGTAAAATTCTCATTGTCATCATTATAAGCTACTGTAAACTAGATGTTCTATAGTTGAACCACATATGAGCAGTATATAGTGTTGTACAGTATGCTTTAAAAAGTGACAACTGAACAGAAACTAAACTTAGGTAAAAGTATATTCACCTGCATATACATCATACGGCGTTACCTTTCAATATCCTCATCGTCTGTCATGCGTTCAGTGATGAAATGTCCAAGGTATTTTACTTTAGCACACACAGTATGCTGTGAATTGTGCTTTTGTATGAAATGCATTGTGAAAGCAGAATTTGGTTTAAATAGCCTATGTGTTTATTATGCAGTAATGAGTGTTTGTTTTCATGCATTCCTGATGGTCTTTCTTTCTCAGCTGCCCATCTTTGATAAGGACGGCGGTAAAGATGGTCATCTAGATGATGGTGATGAAGATCAGGGTGATCTGTCGGACAGTGAAGAGAGCATCTTCTCTGGGCTTGAAGAATCAGGCAGTAACAGTGATGATGAGGAGGAGGAGGAGGAGGAGGAAGAGGATGGTTCTGAAGAAAAGAGCTCAGATGTAGAGGAAGATAAAGCAGCCGACGGTGATGGAGACGATCAGCTGTCAGCCAAAGAAGTCATCGAGCCTCAGGTACTTTGAACCAGACACTTTTTTTGGTGTAGATTTATACTGTGGAATTTAAAGTTGCCTTTTAAGTGGTGAAATTCTCTCTAAATGTATATCGATCAGGACTGATGGGATAGATTTATCTCACACAACTACGAGGCACATTTTGATGTACTCTCTGGTGATATGAAATTGTGTTTTGAAGGATTCATTAAAAGACTCATTATTGGTCCATTAGATTCAGAATACTCTGGTGCATATAATCATACATAATATGAGACTTATAGACCGTAAACGCCTGGCTTATATATTTATTCTTTAGCCCATAGCTATACATTGATGCCATAAGAAAATTTATGCATAGAAAGTTTTAGGTGCAAAAAGACATGCTATTATTCCATATGCATCTTCAAAGTCTGTGATCCATCTACATGCACAATTTCTTATTTTGATGTTTGACCTGCAAAACACCAGTCAAGAGTCTTTTCAGCAGTATGATTCATCTCACTGACAGGAATATTCATTTGAATCAAATCACAGTATGCCGTTATGTGTATCTGTGCTGCTTGTAGTGATTTCAGTGCTGAAAATACAAGGAATATTATCATGAATAGGTGGTAGTTGGATGTTCTGGTTTGATCACACTTGTTGATTTGCCTGAAAGTTTGAGAGCCTCTGGTTTTCAGTGTTATACTGTGCTTGCAGCTCATTGGCCTGTACAGATGTGATTTCCGTTTGAACTCTATTGGTTATTGCCAAATGTATTGCATTTAGCTGACTCTCTGTCATATGGAGTGTCACATTTCCAGGCAGCGTTTTGGAATATACTGTGATTCCAAAAAGAATCTGGTCACTTCAGCCAGACAAATGTCTGCATGTCATTGCATTTTGAAACATATCAAAGCAGCTTGCTTTTACGTTAAAGAATAACACTAGTACTTTTACCTGAATATCTAAAGCAATAAATTGTAAGGAGATAACAGCATGAGAAGTGCTAAAAATACAATGTTTCAAACATTTTCTAGAACGGGTATTCTCAGGTGTTATAGGGGTAGTCGTGGCCTAATGGTTATAGAGTTGGACCTGTAACCTGAAGGTTGCGGGGTTGGAGTCTCAGGTCTGGCAGGAATTGTTGGTGGGGGGAGTGAATAACCAGCGCTCTCTTCCACCTTCAATACCATGACTGAGGTGAGACCCTTGAGCCTACTACTCCCTGGGCGCCTCAGCAATATGGCTGCCCACTGCTCCGGGTGTGTGTTCACGGTGTGTGTGTGTGTTCACTACTGTGAGTGTGCACGTGGATGGGTTAAATGCAGAGCACAAATTCCAAGTATGGGTCACCATACTTGGCCACACGTCACTTCACTTTCACTTTTTCACCCTTTTTGACCCCATTGTCCAAGACAATATTCAATAATTGCATCAAAAAAAATTATAATTAAAATAATTAAATTCCAGACTGAATGTATTTCAGGGTTCACACTTTCGATGACCAATCAGTTTATTTGTTTGTGTTAATTATTTGCAAATAGCAGTTTCAGCACAATAAAATATTTCAAAGCTTGATCAATCAATCAATCAATAATTTTATTTCGGTCCTCTCAGACAACTTTTCACAAAATAAATAAATAATTAAACATAATTACCGAAAAAGGTGTAGGCTGAAGCCTTGCTTATTATGCCTACCCTTTATACACAATTAACTGATGAGCGACACTTTTCACTAAGAAATACAAGATAAACATGTTACATAAACATTACCCCAAATGTACATGCAAAATTCGAAACAACATAACAAAAAATACACATTACGACTATTACTTCAATATTGTAACAATACATTCACAATTATTGATACTGAGTCATATAATTATTTAACACCTTATTTTTATACATTTTCTTGAATTTGCAGAGTGAATTGCATAATTTAAATTTCTTATCACAATTATTCCCACAATTATTGATACTGAGTCATATAATTATTTAACACCTTATTTTTATACATGTTCTTGAATTACATCATTTGAATTCCTTATCACAAGTATTCCATAGATTTACCCCTTTAACAGATAAACACCTACTTTTTGCATTAGTTCTTGCCCTTACTTTTTTAAACATATACAATCCTCTTAGATTATACTGACTTTCTCTTATTTTGAACAGCCTCTGAATACAATTTGGAAGTAAATTATTATAAACTTTGAACATTATCTGTGATGTACATAAATCAACTAAATCTACAAATTTTAAAGCATGTAAATGAATAAACAATATGTTTGTCGGTTCATAATAATCAACCCTTTTAACAATCCTAATTGCTTTCTTTTGTAACATATATATTGAATTTATATAGGTTTTATAAGTATGACCCCACACCTTTACACTTGCGGAACACCACAAGTGAATTTCATTACATCTGATTTAACATTATTTATTTGTACAAACTGATATCTGTCATCGAGGTAACTTTTTATCCAAGCAAAGGCTTTTCCTCTTATAGCATATCTCTCCAGTTTCATCATTAATAAACCATAATCAATAGTGTCAAACGCTTTTTTTAAATCTAGGAACACCCCCACAGTATATTCATTATTATCCATTGAAGAAGAAATCTCTTCTACCAGTTCCATCACAGCCATTGAGGTCGACCTGTTTGTTCTAAAACCATACTAATGATCACTTATTAATTTGTGTTTGTCTATAAAATTATCAAGCGTGCGCGCAAATATTTTCTCTAGAATTTTTGAGAACTGGGAAAGAAGAGAAATTGGTCTATGATGAACTACCAAAAATTAATATTCATTATAAACATTTCAATGACTTTTCAAGGTTTGGAAGTCACACTTCTACAAGTCACTCAAAATAAGACATAAGCATAAATATAGAGAATTATATTTATAAATTGATATAGAGAGAAAGAGAGAGAGTTAATAGAGTTTCAATACCATTCAGTCCTGAAGTGCTTCTAGAAAGACGTTTCTAAAAACGTATTAAAAAATAATAAACAAAAAGCAGTTTGTTGGTTTGAAATGATAAAACAGTAGATATAGTCCTGTGAAAATGAAGACAAAAAATGTGTTGTTGTGCAATTTTGTAGAAATGTCAAAAATTAGTAGACCTGTGGGAAAAAAAAGTGATGGCAGCTTTAAGAAAAGATCCCGTTGCATTTGAGCAGAGATACTGAGACTTGATTGATGTTTTAGTATCTAATGCAGTGACATTCAGATGTTTTTAGCTGTGACCTAATTGTCCAAATACTTTTTGGCTACTATATATCATTTCATTTTCACTTCAGTGCCATGAGTGAGAAAAGATGCTGTCTCTGGACTTCACTCTCTAGCGACCCCTAATGGCAGATCACAGATAATGTGAGTGCCACTGGCTGCGTCTCACCTCCTCCTGCTCTGTTTATCTGCCACACAAACCTGCTGCTGCTTCTGTATTAATGGACGTCTGAGAGAAGGAAGGCGATTGTCAAACTGTCATTCTGTGTGAGTCGATTTGGACTCATATACAGAGAAACAAGTGATCGTGATAAATGGCAGGATGTCTGCGGGTCTGTGATGACATTCCTGCTGTCAAATAATGCCTCAATCCCCTAGAGAACAGAGACACATGAGTTTCATATTGTTTAATTTGATAAATAACACATTTTGCGAAATGTATGCCTCAATGTCAACTGGGGGTGCTCCGATCAGGATTTTTGTGGCCGATCACAGAAAGCAGTATCTACCGATACCGATCTTTTAAAGCCTTCTTTTATCATTTATAACTATTTATAGTGATACTCCAATCAGGATCTTTAGACATTTACTCGGGGCCTGAATTTCAGTTTTAAAAATGGGGGGAATTCCCCTCTTAGGTGACTCTTGTGAGAGGGGAAGCAGCTTTCACACAGGAGTCCACTGCTGAATCATGGCTGTTTACCACAAACACAACATTTATACATTATTTTAATTTCAAATCCAAACATTGTCACTGAAAATGCTTTTTCAGCATTGCAATTCTTTTTTACACAGTACAGTATACCGTAAAATCCAATAGTTTACCTTACTTAGATTTAATTAGTTATCTTTACTTAGTTGTTATACTTACCAGGTTTTATTAAGTTACAGTTACTTTCAAGGCAAATAAAACAATTTACTTACTGTTTTGAGTGACACTTACTTAAAATATTCAAGTAGCCACAAAGGAACCAATGACATTAATAAACCAGTGAGAGGCGGCAGCAGTGCACTAATATGTTGCTAATGTGCAACATAACAACAGAAGAAGAAGAAAAGAGAGTCTTAATAGACTTTTCACCCATTTCCTCAATGTCTGCAGTTATCTTTCACTAGTTGCATTCACTCGTTTCCCAAAGTCATCTTGAATGTTGAATTCTCAATACAACTGAAATATTTGAGAGAACATCACATAAGCTAACTTCATAGGGGGTGGGGGGGGGGGGGGGGGGGGGGGGTTATTCACCATTATAGTGATTAGAGTTTCCTTTGGTTGGGCACTTCGAACTTTATTTGTGTTACTATAATTTTCTTCCTGTTAATGCAACAATGCATCATGAAGTCAGAGTTATTTGATTTCAAGGGAA